TTTTTCCCTCTGTTCGTCGCTGCTTTCGGCCATGACTGCCCTGAAGTATCACAAATACTCTACCATACACGGGACAATAGTTTTGGGATAGGATGGTTCATATTTCACGAAGATTTTTAAGGATTGAAAACCGATGCCCGAGAAACGTCACTTCTGCCCAGGAACCGACTATTATTCAGCAGGCCTTTCGTCGCCTTCCGTTCTTCCCTGATCTCAAATTTCACGCCCGCAAATTATTCCCGCCCGCATCGAAAGGCCTGCGGAGGAGGTAGCTACAGCAGGAACATTCCCCTTCGGCTCTCACTAAGACGCAAGGTCCAATACGAAATAAGGGAAAGAAAAAAGTCTTTTTATAAGAACAAAGTTCAGCACCTAAGAAACACTGACAGTCGTAGATGGTGGAAAATGGTCAACAAAATGTCCGGTAAACCTGAGAAAACAAAATCTTTCTCTTTAGAAGGCAACGGGGAAACTCTGAACGACGAACAACTAGCAAGTGCCCTTAATGAATTTTACGTCTCTGTCAACGCGGATATTCCGACATTTGATGCAAATTCACTGCCCGCGTCCTCACCGGCTAACCACGCCTTTTTATCCGTTCAACGTCACGAGGTCTGTGCATGTCAAAAGCTTTTAGCTCTTCAACCTTATAAAGCAACAGGACCTGATAATTTACCAAGTCGATTTCTAAAAGATTTTGCTCACGTGCTGGCCGATCCAGTTATCACCATATTTAATGCATCCCTTTCCTCTAGCGTCGTCCAGAGAATTTGGAAAGAATCCAATATCATTCCAATCCCGAAGGTACAACAACCCGAAATTGACGGAGATACCAGACCAATATCTTTGACCTCTTGCCTCTCCAAACTGCTGGAAGATTTTGTTGTAAGTTGGCTAATTGACGATGTCAAGGGAAAGATCGACCACTGCCAGTTTAGCTGTTTGAAAGGAACGTCGACCACCTATTGCCTCCTTGATATGCTCCACTCTTGGCTCTCCCTCAAGGGACTAAACTTGGTCCAATATTGTTCCTCATTATGATTAATGATTTCAGAGTAAATTCCCCAGACACGAAAATGTGGAAATTTGTAGACGATGTCTCATCTTCTGAAAATCTTACATCGAACAGTTTCTCTGCCACTCAGTCAACTCTTGATTCTATCGATTCATGGGCAACTTACAATTGTATGAAATTGAATGCCAAAAAGTGCAAAGAGCTCCGGGTTTCCTTTCTTAAAGAAACCCCGCAGCTACCATCTTTGACAATTGATGGTCACGTGCTAGAAACGGTACAATCAAACAAAGCGTTGGGTTTAATTATTCAAAACATTCTAAAATGGGAGAAAATTCGATCAATCGTCACCAAGGCCTCCAAACGGTTATCCCCTCCTGCTGATCTTACCAACATATACTTCGCGCTTATTTGTTCTATTCTGGAATATTGTTGTTAGGTGTGGAATTGGAAAGAGTACAAAAGCGTGCCAGGCGCATTATCTTTCCCGGCCACTCGGCGAAGCCCTCCAATTGGCAAATTGCACAAGACTTAGGCGACATACCTTACAGAAGATTGCTAAACGTGCAGGTAGCCTTGCTGAACACGGTCTAGAGCTTGTGCTCAACAATATCATATTAGAAATTTAAATAATCTGTCATTGTATAAGTACAGAACTGAACGTTTTAAAAACAGTTTCTTTCCAAGAGCAATTGTTGAACTGAATGCCATGAAATAGAGGAAGGAATCTACATGTACCTTAGATTAAATGGTTGAACAATTTATATTTTAATAATATTCTTAACTTAATATTCTTAAATTATATATTATTTTTATTAACCTATTTTACCTTAAATTTTGTAAATAAGTATAAACTAAATTTGACTTTGAATGTAAACACATTGTAATTCATTGTTTATGCGAAAATGTGTCATTAAACATCAAATAATAATAATAATAATAATTTTTACAGTTTTTAATTTTAACCCTATCCATCGAATAACTGGCATTTTGTTCACGGGTTTTGTTTCAACACAATATTTATTTTGAGTTGTTATAGTAAATCGAATTTCGATTGTGCTTGTTTCTGAAAAAAAGCCGTTTTGTTTATGTTGATTTTACTCGTTTATACTTCGTTAGGATAAACCGGTTTTATAATCGCAGACACTCGATATACTCGCAAGTGAAATGAGTGATTTATTATGTGAGTGAAACGATTATATCTTGTCAAAAAGATTTACGTGTAGTCGCGAGTAGCGAGTCAAACGAGTACTCGAAGCACTCGCGAGTGACTCGCGAGTCAAGTGTATGTTACTCGAGGACGGGACTTTATCTAACATTTCAATGGTTTCCATGCAACATTGAGAAATAATAAATAGATAACAAGCAATACTTGATGTACATACATACCTTCTCACTCTCTGTATCCAGTGCAGATGTCGCTTCATCCAATAGTAGTATTCTAGGATCTCTGATCAAAGCCCGGGCAATTGCGATCCTTTGTTTTTGTCCACCAGATACCAATGTTCCTTTATCACCAACGATTGTGTTGTGTGGTAGCCCTAAATGAATGTGCAAGGATATCCCATTACGTTATGAGATCATGTTATGACGTCATGTTATGATGTCACTCGGTTTAATATAAATCCGCCATTTTGTGGAGACAAAAATTTTACTTCGTAGAGATAGGAGTACGCATTCTATCTGATATTGCTATGCTCCCCGACAGCCTGTGACGCAGAATAAGACAAAATACCAGTTTCGTCTTCAGTGAATGCGACTATAAAATGTAGGCGCTTCTAATTGAACTGAGTGTTGACGAATTATTACCTTTGGCAATGAAGATATAAATTGGTGAATATTCGCCTCCCTTGCGGCTTTTTCCACTTCTTTATCAGTAATTTTCCTCGTCGTATCACCGAAGGCAATGTTGTCTCTTATTGATAAATCAAATAATACAGGCTCTTGAGAAACGACACCTATTTGACTTCGAAGCCATTTTAAGTTGAGTTCCTTCACATCGTTGCCATCCACCGTCTAAACGGAACATATGATTATTTAAAACCAGCCAGTTTAGTGTATCATTGACCGTTACGCATTAAACGAATAATTTATGGTCCGTTCACAATTACAGGTAGCAAACTTTGAGATCGATTAAAATTAGACCAATCTCCAACCTATACCGTAAACCTCCGATTATAAGCCCTGGGCTTACAGTACAGGTGTATATACTTTCGTAAGCGTTTTTGATGGCTTATACAAGGGGGGGGGGCTTATATACGGGGGGGGGGGTAATACATGGATGATTTTTTGTGTTAGTAATAAACAAGTCAGACATAAACAAGTTAGTCATAAACAGGAAAATAAACATGTATTATTTAATAATAACGCGCTTTGATTCACATAGTCGGCTATAAAGACAATGACAATGTTTTTAAATATCGTTCACTGCTATATTAAAAGACAATGTGAATGTTGAATAAAGTAGTGGGCTACTGGGCTTATATTCGGGGGACTTATATTTGGGGGGATTATATTCGGGTGGGCTTATATT